TTATTAAAAAATCAAGTTTCTCTAATGTTGAATTCAATTTTAAATAGCATACTTTACCTAATAATCAATTCTGACCTTCTATTTTTCAAAAATATACTAGATACTTTATCGATTTTGCAGTATTTACCTAAATTTACAGTAATAGAATTTCAATATAAAAATAAATAATTATGAATTGCACTTATCATATCAAAAGTCCAATATCTTTGATATGTATAGCTCCTCACAAGTGTTAATGCTAAAGGAAACTTTGTGTTGAATGCTTATCAGAACATGGAGTGGATTTAAAAAAAACAATTCCCATAAATAAATTTTAAGAAATTGCAATTAACAAATTTAAAGACTAAATGCTTAATGATATATCTGAGCTAACCAAATAGAGAACGGCCTTTAAATCCTTGCTCTCTCATGGCGAATCTATGTTGAAGAAAAGTTGGGAGGAATTGTCTAAATTAATCAAATAAGTTTATGATTGGATTGAAAAGGAAAACTAATCATTCTTAAACCTCATCAACGAAAATACTAATCTAGCTGAATCTTCCTACACAAACATAGAAAAATTAATAAACCTTGTAGATGGAACAACCTTATCTGATTGGAATGCTTAGAAGAATTCTTATATGATGGAATTAGAGAAGACGAAAAATTGGTGGGACAATCATACTAAGACTTTCATTAAAAAGTCTAACCTAAGAATCCAATAGATTCAATCATTATTTAAGTAAATATTTAAATCATGCCTCTAGGATTCAACCTGAAGAAGATGATGAAGTGTATTAAATGAAAGAAGACATTTATGAAATGCTCACTTACATTCAGGATATTGATGATTCTCTCTATAATAAAGTTCTTGAACTAATTAGAAGAGAGTAAGTTTCAGACATCCTTGATTTTCTTTCGAAGAAAAATAATTAACACTTTTATGAATCTTTATTCAACAAGCAAGAGAATTTAAGAGATGTAAGAAAGATAATAAAGAAAATCACAAATGTATTGAGAAATATTTAGGATCATCTATTTAATAAAGTTGACTATTCTTCAGATAATTACTAAATCTTAAGAGAAGATCTAATTAAGAGGATTAAGAATAATAAGGGGATCATAAATTTTATCAAGTTTCTAATTCTTCTCACAAGTATCGATGATAAATTTTGTTAAAGTGGGTCAAATGGATTAAATTTATTAGTTGGCATGAAGGTAGATCTCAGGAACAAATCATTCGAAAATATCAGAATAAAAAATACATCTTTAATTGGAGGAAACTTTGTACGATGCAACTTGAGTGGATCTGAATTAGATAACGTCGACATAAGTGGTGTTAATTTAAATGGTGCTTAACTATTTAATTGTAAATGGAAGAATATTAAAATCCATGAGTTGAATAAATTGGATGGTAGTTGCGTGAGATCAGTCTCTATTTCAACTGATGGATATACATTAGCATCTGGTAATGAAGATAAGTCTATCATTCTATGGGATGTTAAAACAGGATAATAAAAAGCCAAATTGGATGGTCATAAGAATTATGTTACGTCAGTCTGTTTCTCACCTGATGGAAATACATTGGCTTCCGCAGGTGGAAACTTGCATCCTGATATAAAAGGTGACAACTCTATCCGTCTATGGGATGTTAAAACAGGATAATAAAATTCCAAATTGGATGGTCATACTCATTATGTCAACTAAGTCTATTTCTCTCCTGACGGAAATAAATTAGTTTCTGGTAGTGCAGATAATTCTATTCGTTTATGGGATGTTAAAACAGGATAATAAAAAGCCAAATTGGATGGTCATAAGAATTATGTTATGTCAGTCTGTTTCTCACCTGATGGAAATACATTGGCTTCCGCAGGTGGAAACTTGCATCCTGATATAAAAGGTGATAACTCTATCCGTCTATGGGATGTTAAAACA